AAAAGAAAAAAAACAAAAGTAGGAAATTCGGGTTGACCTACAAGTATTGGCTCTTTTTTCACGTAGAAATCGGTCTGAAAAATGGAATATTTGGCTATACGACAAGAGAATCGTAAGTTGCCGCGCTGGCCGGCTCGGCGAGCGACGCAGCGTCGCGAGAGATGAGTTCTCCCACCCAGCCATTCGAATTTAAATGTTAAAGGGCGAGGAAGGGTGTTACTCAAGCGCGCTATCCGCAAGCGGTTCTAACCGTGGTTCTTCATGTTTTATGTTTCTAGCTTAATTTGGTAACCGTCGCATAACTCGTTTTCAGTTTATTCGAGTGAAAATTGAAGATAGTAAGAAAATATGCAACGATTCCTGCGAGCTTCACTCCAATCCTGAAACTGACGCAGAGTTCAAATTTTCAGCGTTCATTGCCGGGTGGCCCATATTAAAAATTTCCCGCGCTCATTGCTAGATGGCGCGCTGCTGCTGCATGGCAACTTACGATTCTCTTGCCCGTCTCCCGTAATATTTGGGGTGGGCATTTTGACATTGCTTCCGGTTGCTTCACCATTTCCGGTTTACAAATCTCACTATGGTGAAACCTGTCAACTTTTGTAAGATTATTAAGCTCATAAAATGAATTTCGTCACGAATTCACAAGAGTTGACAGGTACACTTCAGAAGATATGACAGATGGTCTCCACAAACTTTGGCTCATATCTTGAGGCTTGACAAGATTTCACAGGTCTGCTTTGATGACTCGACATCAGGGTACGCCATCGTTGTGATCATCACAACGGGGGGGGGTCGTATTTGACCTCGAGGAGGGGGGGGTCGTAAGCGCGGGGACCTTTCTGAATGTGAGGGTGCAGCGATACCTAGATGTCGTTCAGCTTCAATGATGAAAGACTTATCCATGTTATGAACCCTGAAGAGACCCACACAAGACAGAAGCAACATGCCAGCGCAGAAGTGGGAACGGGCGATGACAGGAAATACGATGGTCGCCCACAACGACGTCATGAATTAATAAAAAAAAGATAAAGTTTCCGCCGTTGATCAACCTCTTCGTGGCACGCACTCTAATTCTATTATTTGGATCGTAGTGGCGTATTGAATGCGATGTGGCCATTACGATGACTTGCGGTGGAGAGCCGTGTACAAGTCAGTGTTTCATCTCCCAGACGAATGTGGTACCATTTTGCTGTCCACGGAGGGGTAGAAGGCTTAGTCTTGCGTGGGCCGAGAGTCGACAGCCGAGGATTTGACCTAAGGCATCGGCGCGAGTGGTAAGCGCGGCCCACTTGTCAACTACTACACTCCTCCCCGCGCAATAAATATACACATTTAATGAATAAGCAGAATGAAAGTACACCTTTCGAACGCTTTCTCTCTCAGTGAGCATGTCTACTTGCACTCTAGGAAGGCCATTCCTAGCAGTTGCAGCCTTCCATAGCTCTGGCGCGTGAAAGGGTTATCATGGCGGACATTCGCAAAGGTATCAATTTGACGCCCAGTGAACTATTTCCTGATATCCCTGGCAAAAACATGCGTTTCTGAAGCATACCAAAGTCCTTAAGCCAAGTGGAGGTTTTATGGCGTTAGAGGGGTTGATTTTTCGGGTCGTGGGGTAGTGATCACGGGGTGATCACAACGGGAATTTTTTCGAATAGCAGCGCCGAGGCCGAGGCAGTAATTATGAAAATTTTGCTGAAAGCTGGACGAAGCTTCGTGCTTCCGGCACAGCTTTTCTCTGTACGAAAGGCCCTTGCATGACGCTTGCCATGGATGTCCAAAGCGTAGCGACTTGTGATTGGCCTCCTCATCACGCAAGGATCACAACGGAGTAAAATTCCTAAAAAGGATATTTTTTGAATCGCTCAAAAATCAGGTACAAGTGCAACACTAGTTCCCTCACACCTCTGCTTTCCCCTCTCCGAAAGCTTCACTCTCAAGGAAGCTATGGTGTTTACCCGAGGGGTACTTTTCGAGTGTTTGGCTTGAAATTGGCTCTAGGTCGTAAAATAGCGCGCTCCAATACGTTTGTATTAGCGCATGATCGTGAACAACTAATATTCAAATGTTATCTACTATTTTTGGCTTCTATGTCCCATGGTGAGTTTTTTTTCTTGTCGTTCGTTTCTAATGACTTGTTAATTTTCTTTTTTAGTGTTTCTTATTAGCTTTCTGGTTTGTGTTCTGGTTCTAGGCGCTATCGAACTACTCCTAGACCCCAGTTTTGCCGAATCAGAACTGTTTTTGTCGAATTTTTTTTCCTAGAAGGGCAGATACGGCTGAAAATTTGCTTATAGTGGTACTTCAACCTCCTGAACACTTCCGCTTCCCCGAAACTCGTCGATTTTGATGATTCAGGGTACTTCGGCGCCCGCGCCACAGGCGCCGCCGCCAAAATACCCTAAATCACCAAAATCGATTAAAACTTGTACACGGGGGTTATTTGACATCCTGTTTACGATTATGATATTTATCCTCGGCGCCAGCGCTAACGTAGAACGCTATGGTCTCCTGCGCCTTGCTAAGACTGAGCCTATCCTGAGGGAAATCTTTCCTCTTTCCCAGTTTCAGCCTCAGCAGAGCGCTAGATAGCTTTGGAGCTTTGGTATGGAGAAATGATGGTACTGTTGATCAGGACATCGAACATCTATAGATAAGTTCTTCAGCATGAATTTTGAGTTTCTGGCGTAGGAACAGTTCAATAGTGCCTAGTTCTCTTTATTTTCATTTTCTTCTTCCTTTTTGCGCTTCATTTCATTTGAACCTTCGTGACCGGGGGGGGGGGGGGTCGTATGAAGACCCTTATTTGGGGGGGGGGTCGTATTTAGCGGGAAATGATCACAACGCGATGACGTGCCCTGCTCGACATGTCGATGGCAAATGGCAAAGGTATAATATAAAATGCATACCCCCTCCTTTACACCGTCGCCGAGAGGTACCGAGAACTTCATGCTCCCAGCTATTCCCTTCTTAAACACCGGTTTTGGGGTCATAAAGCTAAGTCTGTAGTGCTGCAACACAATAATATTGAAATTTATAATTTTGAAATCCAAAATTAAATTAAAAATTTTGTAAATTAAATTTAAGTTGAATATCCTAATTGAAATTTTGTTCGCGCTAAGGTAGTGCATGGCAAGTAACGTCACTTACCACAAGCGTGCTCTGGGGTTCAAGTCCCGGATTGGCTCCCGCCCGAGTCAAAAGAGCTTTCCATGCCTGCGGGAATAGCTTATTAGTAATAGACCCGTCTAATGGTAAGAAGACAAAAACGCTTACTACTACATCGGCCCCCCCCCTCGCAGTTCATTGCATAGGCCATTCACATGCAGAACCCATCGCGACTAAACTGAAGTGAAATGCGTGCAGCATCCAGAAAAGGATCCATAGAGGTAAAAGCTCTAATCTATCGAATTTTTGATGCAGGACTGCTTTTCACCGTTGCGCGAACCTTAACAGTGCTGGATGTTCTTGCACAAGCGGCGACACGGTCGACTGTCAGGCGTGAGTACCACTTATCCCAGATTAGGTCTGTCTGGGTGCTCGCTTGCTTCTTCCTCTATTTTTTTTTCTCTAATCCGAAATCCTATATCAGCTTTTTTTTCTTATCGCTGCACTTCCACCACAGAGAGTGGACCAACTGTATCACCAAAGCAGCTCTGAGAAATGAAACTTGGGCGTTGCGGTGGCCCGTGGGCTGGGAGGTGGCTTTGTCGCAGCGGGTCTCATACTCCTCTACATACTCTTGAAGCTTGCGAAAGGACACCCTACACGCTTGCGTGCAGGACCACCATGTCTAATGGAGACGTCTGAACATCAAATGAACGCGGAACGTGCCTTTAGCTGACGTAACACACCGCTTAGCACGAAACGGTCTGGGGATCGTGCCACATGCACCGGAGTCAGAAAAGGCATGTGGCGCCGTTCCCCGTAAGGAGGGCTCCAGGCATTGTCGTGGCAAGCGAATGTGACACCGTGCTCGGGAGGTCGAACTATCCTGGAGACTATGCCTCTAGGAGGAAATGTTGTTAGAGACTGGCCTTATTTTGGAATTAGGGTAGTCAAGGTCAAATAGAGACTTGTATTTTTGTGTCTTGTATTTCTAGATACGATTTGACCATGGTCACTCATTAATCTGAAAACTAGGTAATGTACATATTTCCCTGAGCTTAATTGCATCCACTCAACATAACTCCAAATCTTGTCTTGCATTTAGATTTGAGAAGCTCTGCTCATCTTTTGAATTTTGTTGACGACGTTCCTATGTCCTTTTTCAGGTCACTGAATTATAAAAAC